ACAAAGCCTTTAACTTGGGTTTTTTCCTTTTTCAGTTATGTTCCACTTCCACCACAAAGCAGTTGTAAAACTGATCACAAAATAAAAGACCTATTACCCATACCTTTTCATTTTTTTGCCAGAAAACAGAAAGCACTGACTTGTTAACCTCTTTTATTGCTTATGGGTTTAATGAGTGGTTAATTAACATGGGCTTTGTAACGTTACATCCAGATGCATTTGAACATAAAAATAAAGTGACCTATCTATGAAAACCATAAATCCTAAAGTAAACTCTTCATTTTTCGTAATGTAAGTGCATCTGGACATTTTCTTTCAGTGTAATGCAGTTTTGTGAGCATTATATACCTGATTTGCAGTGTAATTTCCATTTTCTATGATTTTCCGAAAATTTTCTCGGAATTTCTGGGCTGCTTCTATGTCAGCTGATGTGCTTTCCCCAACAGTTTTGACACTGGGCAAGGATAATCGATTTCTAAATCTGTAAAATCAACCTTTGTTGGTTTTAAATTTACGTACGTATGATTCATTATTAAAAAAGGTGGGGATTCAAGATCTTTTACATATTGGTAAATCTTTGCTACCTTTCTCCTTATCAGATTACTGTTCAAAGGAAAATTCCTTGACAAGCAATCTTCTATCTATAATATCAAACGCTTTTGCATTTTAACCATTAAAGTGTCTCAGTTTTATTTAAACTTACTAAAGATTCAGAGGAAATTCTAGCTGTTATTTTGTTTTCATTTCTTCATATTGTTCAAATTGTTACCTTGTTTAATTTTAAATGTTAAGCAATGGCTGTAACTTTCTCACCAAATTTTTAGCCTATCCAAAATTTTAATTTTTTTCTTCAAGGATATTCATTTTCTTCTCTTCTAAGAATTCTCTATAGTAGGGATTGAAAAGGGTCTTTATATTTCCATAGGTCACTTCAGTAAGTGTGCCATTCTCTCTCAAGTCAATTTCCTGTGTTCATTTTACTTACTGCTATTGAATGCAATTTAACAATGTTTTTGCTTGACATATGTATGTAAGGACAGAATAAAGGACTGTTTTTCCCAAATTGGATTGCAGAAAGGATTTAAAATGGATTCAGAAGAGAGTTTTGGTGATGTCTGTAAGTACATACATAGCTATGTGTGTATCTTGCATAACTCACAAACGAGTAGCCTCAGAATGTCAAAATTTTGTATGTAGAATTGTTCTAACATGTAGTTGTGCACCTCCCTTTTTGGTTGCAATTGGCCACACCAAAAGTATATAAATATATACTTACCTACTCTATTACTCACCTCCTTAAACTGAGTTTTTTTATTCCTGTATGTTGGTAAATTCTGTATTTTTTGCTTTCAAAATGATTGAATTATGTTGTTCTTATCTTGCAGTTAATATTTTTATGCCTTTAGTTAATCTGCATACAGTGGTTGTAGAATTATTAACAATTTAAAAGTTGGTTAAGTGCAGCTAAGCCTAATTTTTTTTTTTTTTTTTTACCATAGGAGTTGTATTTGTTTACATGTGAAACTTAGTAGAATAGTGAATTAAGTCAGTTTCTGCACCTTCACTGTCTTTTTGCTGAGTGGGACCAAAAGTAAACTTCCAGTTTTGAGCACCGAGAAATCTGCCTTCTTGCCCGCAGCGCGAATTGCTTGTTTTTGCATAGAAACTCTAGAGTCGGTGGGTAACACAGAAAAGAGATTTTACTATAAATGCATAATATATGATAAAATTTGCTAAGTAAAGTTATTTAATTGTACATACTTTAATTTTTGTAGATGTATACATTTTGAAATTCTTGCCCATTTGATCTTCTGCATGTTGTACAATTTTTTCTGCTAGATATTTTGTTAGACTTTCTCTTCGGTTAATTTTAACTTCTGTCAACCTGTAAATACATGTTTTACTAGTAGAGATAGTACATGTACCTTCTTTCCATAATTTCAACATACGTTAATAGTAATCTGTTTTAATATTTCCATTAAATTTTCCACTCCATGACATCTAAAATATGCAGTTCGATCCTTCTGACATGGGGCATTGTCCTGCTGAAAGATTCCATTTCCAACTGGGAAGACAAATGACCTGTAATGGTGCCACTGATCTGCAGTTATGTCCAGATAGTTTGCAGCTTTCATGGTCTGTTCTAGTACCACTAAGGGTTCAGAGGCACTAATCAGAACGTCCCCCAAAACATAATATCGCCACCACCAGCACAACTTGTGTATGAGTTGCTGTACGGGGGGGGGAAGAACTGTTCGCCTGAAAGATGGCAGATCCTCACATGACCATTGATATGATGAATAAGAAATTGTGATTCATCCTACCAAGCAATTGCTTTTCACTTATGAGTGGTTCAGTCTCAATGTTCCTGGGGCCACTGAAGGTATGGTTGACAGTGATGCTTTGTCAACAGAGGCATACAAAAGGAATGTCTGCCTCGCAGTCCCATATCCAACAGTGTTCTTAGAATTGTGTATTTTGTTAGCTGAGGCCGATCTGGCGCCAATTTTCTTATATTAAGCGGTACAGTCTCCAATGTTCTTTTTCTTTGATGACATGTAGAAATCCAACACCTTGGCATCTAATGCTGGTTTTGCCGTCATTTATGTACTTTGCGTAAATACTAACAATGACAGATCTGGAACAACCTACCAGTCATGAAGTTTCGGAGGTACTTGTTTCGAGTCTTTGGGCCGTTACAATTTGCCATGTATTTATTAAATTCGCATCCTTTCCCATCACTTGCAAAAGTAAGTACAAGTATGATTCCTTATCATTTCCAGTAGGAGTTAAATACCATTCTCACTTAATCACAACCCTTAATGTTTAGATATTGGGTTAAACCTCTTATACATGATTGCAATTATTAATATTGTTGAGGAATTGCCTAGCTTTAATTCCAGTTTAATTTTAACTTTACATGCTTTAAGTTTATGTATATATAATGTGATGATTTGGGAATGGTTGTAATGGATTGGGGATGCTTTATTGTGTTGTAATAACTTAGAGATTTTGTACTGTTTAGGTTAAAGAATGACACTCAAAGACGGGTGTGGCTGCAAAATTCACCAAATAATTTTTGTTTCTTGATAATAGAATCGTTTAGAGATACAGTATGTGATTCACATCATTATGGGGACGATATGAACCTCACAATTTTAAAAGCATAGGCCATCTTCAGAGACTGGACTTAACAGAAAAATGAGCGGCATGTATTAGTAAGAGCAAAGACAAAGCAGCAAAATGGTTACACATTTAGAAGCGGAAGATATAGAGTCAAAGTTTCAGTTCTGTAAGAAGTAATTAGGTATAACATACCTTGAAGAAGTGATTGGTATTTCACATTACATAAGATGGCATGATCCGGAAAAAGTCATAAACAATTACTATTTTTAAAACAGGGGGGGGAATCCATATTAAAAATACAAATTATGGGGCTATTGCTAATTTAAATTACAATTCTGATATACATATTTAACTTGCACATATAATACTAAAATTTCTACTTGTTACGTAAGTAATAGCTCCTGTTTCAGATTAATTATTATTGCTGAAAAAGCTCTCATTTTATTTCTCTTATTTTTAATGAAATGGCTGATCCTAAATGAAGATACTTTTCTTCTTCTGTCTGATTTGCAAGCTCTGTATTTAATCTTAATATTGACTGCAGGCATTTCGTATTGTATGTCCAGAATTATGTGTTCCAAAGTATCTGCTTCCTTGCTTAAGATATGTTAAACTGAATCATGTTAAACTGAATCTTTATAATTAAAGGATTCATTAAGTTGCTATATGATTAGCAAAGTTGTCAATTCTGTGTAAATTTTTAGCATTAATGCTAAAAATTAATGCTAAAAATTTCATTTATTATAAAACAATAGCATGGTCCCTACAAACATATTTTTATTTCTGTACTTCTGCAAATTGTGTATTTTATAGTGGTTAAGAAATATATTTTAGTAACTTTTTTATTATAGTATGTACTAATATTTTTCTACAGAATTATAATAAATCTTAAAGTAAGTACCCATGAAACTCAAGCATAGCTTCATTTAAAGTCTAAATTTTTTTCTCCCCAATGAAGCAAATTTCTCATATTTAACTCTTAAAAAAAATTGTCTATTTATAAAAAAATGCCATCTTTTAATTATGGTGTATTATTGTAGATAATATGTTGCACTTGGGAGAATTTCTGTAAATTAGAAGGGATTTAAATAACTATTGTAATTTTACTCCCATGTTAACCATTAGGAAAGTAAATAATGTTCTGAATACTGGTGTTTTCATTTTGAATTCTATTTTAAATTTAATAAGCTGATTACATGCATGTTTTTATAGCCTTTCAAAATAAGTGATTTTAAATAAAAGCCTGTTTCTCTTTATTTATCTATGAAGAGAAGCTTTACATGGTTTAACAATAGTTGTCTAACTATTTGATTTTTATCCCCCCTAGATCTTCTTTTATTTTCTGCAGAAAGAAAGTATATGGAAAAAGCAATTTTTTCCCCCTTATACGTCAGTCATATTGTGAAATAAACTATTTTAATAAAATTTAATGACCTTTAAAAACTAAAAGTGTTCATTTCATTTGAAGTCAGCAAGCACCATGCTTTTCTTAGGTAGTCAACAAATTTCTGCTATGCAGGCATTAGAATTTGGTGGAAAGAATCAAGTGATCATTACTATTTTATTGTAGAATTATTTTTATGAGAGCAATATTCTGTTTGCCTTAATATTATAGTGTGTAAAATTCTTGAGATTGCACAACCAATTTCTTTTTGTAACATTCCTTATTTAACAATCTTATCCATTTGGCCAGTGCAGTAAATTTTGGCTATTGCATGTGCAACAAACAAAACTATTGTAATACAAGAGCTGTTATTTTTGTTTGTATGTGCTGTCAGTAAATTATATAATAGTACCCATTAAAAATGCAGACTTTTTATTTTTATCAGTAAGCCTTTTTGATTTTTATATCTTGTATACTATTTTGTAGTCTGGTCCTGGAGGTATTGTAAGAACTGTACCACCTCAACAAATGACTGTAACATCGCAAGCTCTAACTAAAAATCAGCAGGTAAATTTGACTTTTTTATGTAGCTCTTGAAAAAGTTAACATTATTAAAACCATTAAAAATACTTGTCATTCATTCTACATTCAAAAATGGTTTTTATCTTTAAAAACAAACTTTTATATTCTTCCAAAATGCATTATTTTTTCCAAAATCAGCATGTTTTTGAGGTTGCATTATTGATTTAAAGTTTAGATTGTCTCTATATATCTTCATAAATATAATGAGATATGTATTGTCAGAAGATCATTGCGCTGATTTTCAGTGATTGTAAACATGATCACTTTCAGTGGAAAATGTTATTTCTGCAGCATTTGCAGATATGAAAAAAATTCTTTCTACAACTATGGAAGGAGTGCTTCTGTTTTTTATGTAATGAAGAATAAATTAAAATAGGATAGTGCAATAATTTGTAACTACAATGAATATGAAAGTTAAGCTTGGCAGAAAAATTTCTTTTGATAAATTTGGTAGAAATTGCCATTAGTAACAAAAGAATTATTGCTATTGATTTTGCAACTGTTTAAAATGATTGCTTTTCTGCATTGGTGGAACCCTATAGCTAAATCAAGCTGCAAATATGCTTCAGTTGCTTCTTGCACCAAAGAAAGCTATTGCTGTTGTTTTAATGAATCCATGGTTTCTGAAACATCAATACAAATGCAGCACAGTACAACTTAAGTTGTAACAGTGAAAGACTTTTTTAGAGAAGATGGCTGCAAAATTGCGGAACTTGCGTTTCCAATTTTTCTTCTAATGTAAAAGAAATAGTACTTCGTGATTATCTGCAACCCCACAAAAATGTGTTCACGAGGGAAAGCAGTATGTTGCCAGAATAGTTAGTTATATAAACAACCCATAATATCACCAAAACCTTAGGTAATAAATAGCCCAGGTATGCATGAGCACATATCTGTTGTGTCTGGCAGAAGTTGTATGAGTGCCAAAGTTGCAATTTTCTCATGAGCTGATTTCACGTGAGAATCAAAAGCTGAATGATTTTTCTCAAAAGCTGCAGGTAAAGCTGATTGCTGTGTATATGAGGAAATCATCAACATGGGGAGGGGGGAATTCACAGAAAAGTGTTATTACTGGTATTTTTTGCTTTTAAATTTTTTGGTTGATTGCCCTTGTATGGAATTCTTGGTGCTCCACCATTTTGAAAAATAACTGTTTTCTTTCATGCATTATTATGCTGAAAATTCACCTGCCCGTGAGTTCAGTGGCCAAGCGGCGAAGTTGCTGAACTCTGGTTGTTCGATCCGAAGTTTGAATCCTGCAGATGAGCTGGTTGGATGACCATTTTCATGGTTTTCTCCATGTGTAACTAGAATACTAGCCAGTTTCCTTAAAATTTCCTCCACAAAGGCATCCCTTCCCTTAGGCAAATAGCCCTCCAGTCTTTGCCATGATTGTTTATTAATCAAAAAAAGAAATGAGTTCACGAAAGATCTCTGAAGTCATCAACAGATTCGCTACTTTTTTATAGGGGTGTGTATTGGTGTATTTAATTATGGCAAAGCACACGAGGGCTATCTGCCTAAGGGGAGGGATGCCTTTCGTGGAGGACTTTCTAAGGGAAACTGGCTCGTATACACGTTACACATGGGGAAAACCAGGAAAACGCCCCATGAAGCCAGCCCGTTCGCGGGATTCGAACCTCGGACCGAACTACCAGTGTTCAGCGACTTTACCGCTAGGCCGCTGGTGGGCCTTTTATAGGGGTGTGAATAACTGAATAACAATTTAGAAGCATGAGGTTTCTACTGAATAGAGCATTTGAGAAAATAAAGGCTGCAAACCCCCCCCCCCCGAAAAAAAAGTAGTTTTCCTTGGGAGACATTGTTAAAAAAATTGAGAACAGGACACTGGAATATAAAGTAGTCATTTGTAAAATGTTTAGAAATATGAGCGCTCAGTTAAGATGTTGGATTTATAATGATATGACCTGATTTAAAACTCTGCAAAAGTGTTCAAACTGAAAGTTGTGTTCAAACTAATGGAACTATAGAACACATTCTCAGTTAGTCAAAGGAAGGCTATAGAACACATGCTTAGTTAGCAAAATTAGCCTATTATATTATAATGCCAGACTGAATATTCTAGAATGGACATTAGGTGTATTTACAGAACCCAATTATTGCTTTTGTCTGATGTTAATAAATGGGATTCGCATTATTTTGTTTAAGTTTAGGTTTATATCATATGCTAAGTTTTAACAGTGTAAATTTCATTATTTGTAAAAAAGAGATAATCTTATTAAAAATTTAAGGTTAAGAAACATATTGTTATTGTATGTCCAGCTGTCGCAAGACAGCTTTCCCGCAAAGCGGGTTTGGTGTTACCGGGAAATGACTAAGGAAAGCAGGGTTGCCAGATTCTGCACGAAATTGCCCACTTGGCAACAAAATTGGCGCTATTCCATAGACAAATGAACATTCTGGAACGAATTCTTACTGGTTTGACATAGAATATTCTTGAAGGCAGGCCAAAAGCTATATAAACCTTGCTTGTATGCGGAGTAGTAGTGTATTGTGAGTCAGTGCATCGAGAGTGTTCATCTTTGAGTATATCGTAGCACGTCATCGAGTGAATCATGAGTCTCAGAGCGATTGATCAAATCGAGAGCTGTATTTGGTGTTAGTGTTGGTAATTGTTTCAGGCTGGCAAAATACTGGCAAATAAATAGTGTTTTAATAATTCATCAAGTGTTGTCATGAATCACTCCAAATCCAACAACCCATAGAAACGCTACAATATATATACACTGACAAGCGAAAACATTATGATCATCCCCACATTTTTCTATGTCTGGATGAGTGCACGTGCCACTTAATTCTTGCTGGAGAAGATAAGGAATCATTCTTGCACTTTGCAAGGATGGGAAAGGTTGCTGATCTCAGTGAATTTGATAGAGGGCTTTGATAGAGTAATGGCTCGAAGATTCAGAACAAGTATCTCCTAAATAGCATGACTGGTAGGTTGTTCACGATCTGCTGCTGGTAGTATTTTTGCAAAGTACATAAATGACGGTGAAACTAGTAGTAGAATTCACCGTGTTCCTCACATCATCAAAGACACTGGAGACTGTCCCGCTTGGTACAGGAAAATCAGCGCCAGACAGTTGCTCAGCTGATAGCCCAATACCATGCAAGTCCAAGTGAAAGTGTTTCAGAGCACACAGTAATGCAAATGCTTTAGAATATGGGACTGTGCAGCAGACATTCCGCTCCTGTGCCTCTGTTGACCAACCATCATTGTCAATGCCTACAGTGGGCTCGGGAACATCGAGATTGGACCAAGGATATGTGGAAGATAGTTGCCTGGTTGAACAAATCACAATTTCTCATTAATCACATTGATGGTCATGTCAGGGTCCATCGTCTTCCAGGCGAACAGTTGCTCCCCCCTTTACAGCAGGTCATAGACAGGCTGGTTGTGATGGTATTATGCTTTGGAGGATGCTCTCATTAGTGGCTATGGGACCTTTAGTTGTGGAAGAGCAGACCATGAAAGCTGTAAACTATCTGAACATAACTGTGGATCATTTGCACCCTTACATGGCATTTTCCTTCCCAATTGGAAACATAATCCTCAGGTAGAAGAATGGCCCTTGTCACCAGGTTTGAATTGCGTTGGAGTGGTTCGGTGAGTGTACGGATGAATTCCAGTTAATGCCCTGGCCACCTAACGGATCTCATGAAGTATATTTGGTACGCCATGGAGTGGCAGTTCAGAGCTCTAATACCATCATCTGGGAATATCTCAACTGTGTGTGACATCTTGTTAAACAGTTAGTGCAACTTGTTTGCAGTCATCCACCAAGAACTTGTGGCATCCATGCCAAGGTGAGATGTAGCTGTTTTGCAGGTCAAAGGTCAGGCAATGTGTTATTGAGAAGGTGGTCATAATGTTTTGGCTCTTCAGTGTGTGTATTATAACTAATTAAATTAGAAAATTATATAATAAGGATATCCTGCTGCTAAGATCGTATTTAGTTAAGGGGGGAAAAAACAAAACAAAGAGCAAGCATGTAGAGGAAAAAAAAAATATATATATATATACAATTTAATATCATTAAGATAAACATAATGGCTCTGTATATTGAAACTGGATTAAGTTAAAAAGAACTGCTTGAAAATGATAATTTAGATAAGATACTACAGTGTGATAAAATATAAGAAACAGAAAGGAAAAAGCTATATTACCTCTCGTGAAGAGGTCAAGTAATCTAACAAAAGTACTTCTTTTTCCTGTGAAAATCTGTTATGTTTCTGTAAGTTTAAAATTACATGAGGTAGTAAAGTAATAAATAACAGTGTACATATGTTTCATACCTCTGAAAATTAAATACATATTTTCTACAAAACAAATCTTTCAATGAAAGGTAAAACCATTGAATAATTACAGAGAAAAATGACTTAATTGTAAAATGCAACAAAATGCCTTAATTTTTGAAAAAAAAATCTGATGTGTACACCACATGACTTCCTTGTACGGAATATTAAATAATATGCATTTTTTCTTGCATTTTGTTTATACATATTGGATTGAATTAAATCTACTTCGCCGACAGCGCATAAAACACAACTGAATAAATGCATTCTTTAAAATTCACTCTAGCATTTGTTTACACTCACTCTAGCATGAGCCATAGAAACACTCTGGCGCTAGATTCACTTAACAGTATTATATTTCGTTCATATTATAACTCAGAATGCACAAAATTTATATCATTTAAAGAATAGAATTATCTATTTGTTGCCACATGTTCTATTCAAAATACTATAATAAAGCTAGAATGATGTATAAAAGAAATTAAGCAAACAAAACAAAAAAGAAACAGTTTTTTTTCACAGACGACGATTGAGTATTTATCATTTAATTAATTCAGTTCTCACTTCGCGAGAAGGCAAAAATACATAAAAACTCAAAATATCTGTATTAAAAATTACGAAGTAAATCTTATTTCCTCGAAAAAATTCCAGAAAGGATTAAGCATGAT